CTCTCCTGCCACACCTTGATCTTAATTAATTAATGGATGTTAATTAGTGGGAGGCTGCCCATTAATGCCCCGGTGCCAGGGGGCGCTATCTGCGGCTCCTTTTCCTCCCCTACACTGCAGCCCAAGCCTCACGGATGATACTGACATGGTTTGATCTGGGCCTTGTTATAATTTGGACCTCCCCCTGTCCTCCCTGGGCTTTCCACAGCCCTATCTCGCTCTGCGCCTTCCTGGCGCTTGGGCTCTGTTGCTCTTATAGTTTCATAGATAGTTTCATAGATTTAGGGTCAGAAGGGACCTAGTAGATCTTCTAGCCTGACCCCCCGCCAGGGCGGGAGAACAACAAAACCCCAAAACAAGTCTCTGTCTCGCACTGTGCCTCACTGGCACTTGCCACCCCCTCTCTCTGGGGCTGAGGTTCCCACAGTGCTGTGGGCCCCCTGTGAGGCCTCCTCCATCCCCTAATAGCCTCACCCAAACCACCGGTTAAAAAGCAAAACACAAGACACAAGCCCCTGGGCTATAACAAAAATCCAAGCCGCCTGGCTAAAACATCATTCAAACCTTACCAGGGAATACTCCATCCCATAACAGCATCAGGAGCTGCTCCTGCAGTCAGGCCTCTCCCCTTTGCTTGCTCCAGCAGAGCTCCCTTCCCCCTTGGCTGCCAGCAGGGAACTGCCCTCCTGGCCTCAGGCCTGGGATTTATGTGGGAGCCAGGCCCTGCCCCTTCCGGTCAGCTGACCAGGTGCAGATGCAGCCAATTCCCTCCTTAAATCGGTTGTCCTGGCAACCAGCACCTGGGTTCCTGCCTCTGCTCTGAGAGTAGCAGGCACCTTAGTGTCCTGCTACAATGTGGCAGGAAAGTGAATAAATATCTGCCACATTTCCATTCAAAGACTAATCACAATCTAATATGTTAGTAACTTCTTTACGACCATGGAATGGTAAAGTGTTGAGACTAAACTTCTGTACATTTTAATTCAGTTCTGCAAACTGTACAATGTGTTTCAAAAGGTCAGCACAAACAATAATGTCTTGTAACTCAGTCTCCTGGATACAGCCCTCTTCTAGATACAACCCAGCTAGACTATTTTATCAAATACAGTAATGTGCCGCATTGACCCATGTTACCTTTGTGTGTTTTCTCTCTTTCATTTAATGACTTACATTTATCTTGCCCTTCTGTTTTGGATTTGCTCCCATTATCAGGAACTGAACACCAAGAAAGGAAATAATAAAAAGAAAGGCCCATTCACTACTTTTTAGATAAGCTCAGTTTACATAAGCAAGGCCTAACAGGAAAGGTCAAGACTTCCACCAAAACTCTGTAGAGCTAAAGTAAAAAGTAGCAATGCCATGGCAGCTGTTCCCTATACCACCTCTTCATTCTTTCCTTCCTGTCTTTTCTCATCTAAATGAGGAAATTAAAACTGAAAGAAAAATAATTCAGCATTTGTAAATTAAAATATATTTTTCTGCTAAAATATGGTAAAAACATACAAACAATAATGATATATATGTACAGTACATTTTTGTTATACTATATCCTTGGTGGGTAACTGAAAAATTTATATTTATATAAAATATAAAAGTAGCTCTTGTTCTTGCTTATATTGCTAGGATTCTCATAAGCCTTGTCGCAGTTACAAAAGAATTCTTGTGTAACTAGATTGAGCATGAACACCGCATGTCCCCAGTGGCTGGTGGGGCATGGTGAGCTCCTGCAGGCGGCCATGGTGCTGTTGGCAGAGGAGGGGGGACCACCTGCAGAAGCAACTGACAGCGACAGCCAGCAGCGATCGCGGACCACCAGCAGTGTTGGCAGCGGGGGGAGGGGGTGGCTAGCGGCGACCACCTGCAGGCGCCACCAGCAGTGTCAGCGGCACCTTTTTGCAGGGGGTGCACGTGTATCCCCTGAGCGACATAGAAGCGCTCAGAAAAATTAATCCAGATAAACTACAATGGAGAATTTCAAGTGCATTATTATACCACATTAGACATCTATGTGGACATTCTCCTTTAGAATAAAAGTGGTATGACTTCCAAACTTGACTAAATTAACCTTTTGTTAGTTTATGTTACCTTTCCTGAGTGCCCTGTGTAGGAACCCTTAAGTTGTGATCCTGTAGATGTGTTATGTGATAAAATGTACAGTAAGGAAGAAATTCTTAATTTTATTGGGTTGCTAGCAACTAGTCTTTTCATTTCTTTGGTTGCAACCTGTCCTGACTCTAGATGCAGATCGAGGCAAAATATGGCATATATTTTTTAATTTACTAGTAATGACCAAGGATCCTGGTTTTCTCTAATTTTAAAAAATCCCCAATTTTCGGATTTAAAAAAGTAACCCTAAACACACATTTTTCCAGGATTCAAATGAAACACTGTTAATATAGAAATATATATATATAGTAGTATTTCATTTGAATCCTGGAAAAATGAGTGTTTGGGGTTACTTTTTTAAATCCGAAAATTGGGGATTTTTTAAAATCAGAGAAAACCAGGATCACTGGTAATGATCATGAGTTGGCCATGCCCACAGCCAGAGAGAGAAAGCAAGCGAACGAGAGAGCGAGGGAGAAAGCAAAGGAAAACCAACGTCAGTAAAGTAGGGTGTCATTTTAATATAAAAGGTACTAAAGTTCTAGCCTCAATGAATGCACAGCAGACTTTCACAAAATATTTAAAGATCACATATTCCCTCTATTACACTGTATAAAGCTTTCAATTTTGTGACTGAACAACAAAAAGTTTAAAGAAAATTAAGCCAGCATCAATTTCAGCATTTTAAATGCAGACAGGGACTCTTGAGACAACCAATTTACAAACCAATCTTTCAGTTCAGTGCAAGCTAAAAATATCCATCAAAATAGCAGCAAAATCCTAGATATGCTACTTCCGAAACTGATCTGTACATGCTTTACAGAAGACAGCTATCTGTCAGATGATACCTATCATGCTTATCTACCCTTGAAAGTTCAGGTGAAGAATGCCTCCCAGAAGCTATCTTAATAACAGAAATAGAAAAACAAGTCAACACAATGAAACAGAAATTTTTGTTTGCGTCGCTAGAAAAAAATTGGCTTAGG